AATACTTTTTTAAAGTTTTATAATAATAGTCTAGAATATTAAAAATGAACATTTTGGGGAGAACTAAAGTGAGGATATTACTGTAATAGAATATCAAAGTTTCAAGGTGAATCAGCCAACCCTACATAAAGCTTAATTTATTATAATGTGTATACAGTAAATGTGATTGGTCTTTTCACTTTATTGTTCCTGGAGAATTGAGTGATAGAATTGAAAGATAGTTCATTACCTGTGAAATTGTTTTGAAATACATTTTTTCCTTAAAATTTTTTTTGTCCCTTTAAAAATTTTTGATAATTGTATACATGTGTGTAATATATTATGAACATATTTACCCTGTTACCCTCTCTTACCTCCCTCTGAACTTCATTTATTTAAACAAAGGAAAATACATGTTTGGAGTATCTTCAAATGTATAACAGTGTATGTAATTTTTTTCTTATACCTATAACATTGCACACTGAAGGTTTTCAGATTGGTTCCAGATCCACCAACAGATTCCTTGCTATTACATTTTTAAAGGCCTTACTGAGGTTTGTGTTTTGAAAACTGTAAATGAGGAAGTAAAAGTGAAAGCAAAAAGAATCATGAAAAAAATCATATAGTTATAAAAGAAAAAAGTTTGAGAAGTCTTTTTGATTCTACGTTTACTTTTAATTTCTCCAACATAGTTTTCAAACTTCAATATACACAAAATTGCCTGGAGTCCTTTACAGAAATGCATCTTCCTCCAAAATTAAATCAGTAGATAAGAGAATTTCTCATTTTTTCTCTGCCTTGTGTGACGGGAGCAGATAAAAGTCATTTCAAGAAGTGAATAGAATAGACTGTTTCTGTGGAGTCTGACATCAGCTTTGAGTGTTACTAATGTGTGGTTACATTAAAGAATCTCGGGTTGATAATACCCTTACCTATAATACAGAAACAAAAGTAAATTATGTTCTTAGGACTCAGTCTCTAAAATGCTTCAACTATAATTTCAGGCACTCAGTCTTAAAAACAAACCAGAAAGCAGGGATATAAGCAAGAAATACAATGAAGCCAAAATAGAAAAATGACAGTAGAAATATACCCATAAAGAATATAGTTAATGGTAATAGTAGTAGACATAGAATAAGTATTGTGGCTTATTATGTTCAAAAAATAAAAAACAATTAAAAAACAGTATAAAACTATTAAACAAGATTTCAGTACAAGTCTTAAACTAATATAAATAAATAAATAAACAAACAAATAAATAATGTACTTGGCATTTGAGTGTAATGATAAAGAGCCAAAAAGAGAACTTGGAAGCCAACTGATATGTTAGTGGAAAGTAGTCTATCTAGAACTTAGAAGAATGGAAAAACATTTTTAAGTGAAGTCATACATGAAAACAGTGAATAAGTTTCTAACATACATACATGTAATTGGAATCTTAGGAGAGGAAAGGAAGCAGGGGAGGTAGAGCTAATACCTGAAGATATAACAGTTGAAAAATTTCCCCAAACTTAGAAAGATACCATACTAGAGAGTCACAAAATACTGATTATCATGCTGAAAAACTAAAAAACAAACCATGCCTACTCAGAATGTTCACAATCAAAGTCTAAAGGATATTCCAGATAATTGCCAGAGAAAAAGACATAGTGTCTTCAAAGAAAGCATAAGAAAGAAATGATTTCTCAACAGAAACAATGGAGTCAGGAGACAATTGGAGTATCTTCACTATTGTAAAGAGAATAACTGCCAACACAAAATTCTGTGACCAAGGAAGGAATCTTTCAGAAACAGAAGGGAAAAAAGGCCATTTTCAGGCAAGTAAAAACTGGTAGAATTAGATACCAAAAGATCTGAACTAAGGAAGTTTAAAATAGTCTTCAGAATTGATGACAAATTACTCCAAATGAAAGCTAAGACCCCAAAGTGTAGGCTGACAAAAAGTAAATATGTGAATAAACATTAATAGGCACTGTTTGAAACAGTAATTTCTTATGTTGGAAATATAACTAAAATTAAACATTAATACGTAAGTTAAGATGATAGCCTGCAATATGGTCCTATAACTCCCAAGCCCTCATAGTAACATTGTGTTGTATAAAAGCTAGTCTCTGTGGCCAGTATCATGTGGCAGAACTTGTGGTACATCTCTCTCCTTTCTTTTCTCCCTTTCCTCTCCCTCTCTCTCTCTCTCTCTCTCTCTCTCTGTTTGTGGTTGGTGTGGGTTGTGTATTGGGGACAGACCCATGCTATCCTCCAACCCATTTAATAGCCAAGAATAACCTTGAATTCCCTTTCCCCCTGCCTGTACTTCCTGAGTACTGGGATTACTAGTTGTGCCCCTGTGCCTGACTTGATGCATCACTGTTTAAGATTAGATTATAAATACTGTAGCTTGAGGGTGTATGTGTCTCTGTCTCTGTCTCTCATTTCTCTGTCATGCACCCCGCCCCTTATTTCTTGGTAATGGGAACTAAACTGCACATAGCACAGATGAACACACAGGCCCACATGGCCAGTAAAATAGATCATTGATCCTAGATACAATATGAATTTTCATATAACTGAAGTCATAAGCCCAATTGACAGCAACCTCATAAGAGATCTCAAGCCAGATCAGCATAACTAAACTTCTACCAGATTCTTGACCCTCTGAAATAATGTGCGATAATGCTTGTCAGGTTGCTAAACCTTAGGATAATATGTTAAATATCAGTGGATTGCTCATACTAGCTCTGATATGGATACTGGAGATTAGCAGAACAAAAACTGGTGACTGGCTACACCATGAGCAGAAGGTTTAAGACATTTGAAGAGTGTCGGTGAACACATACAGGCCTTGAGCACACTGTCAGAATTTTGGAGTCTAAGGCTGCCTGTGAGGACTTAAAGGTAAAGTAGGGAAAATCTTAGAAACTGTAGGGATGTAGTCTTTATGATAAAATATTAAAGGTTAACAAATGTCACATGCTTTATACTGGAAAGTAAAAAAAAAAAAAAAGTATGTAATGAATTCAGTGATTTGCCAAAGAAGTGCCTAATTTCTAGTTGTACTGCCTATAGTCAGATGTATAAAGATAAATGAGCTACAGATAAAGTCATTAAATAGTAGGGCCAGGATTTACTAGCTTTAAAGATTTTCATTATCTGCAGAATTCAAATGAAAAGAAATGTTCTGAAAGCGTCTAAGTAAAGCTGGAGACAAAGTTTTACCTTTAAAAATCATAGAAGCCGGGCCCGTGGTGGCACACAACTTTAATCCCAGCACTCGGAAGGCAGAGGCAGATGGATCTCTGTGAGTTCAAGGCCAGCCTGGTCTACATAGTGAGTTCCAGGACAGCTGGGGCTACAGGGGACCCTGTCTCAAAAAGACCAAAAAAAAAAAAAAAAAACAATCATCATAGAAAAGCCCAAGGTTGTATATCACAGTAATATTCTGATACAACCTGTAAGAAATTAGGTTGTGCTTAAAGGTTATCTTTTCAATAATATTCATTGATATTTGAATAATGTTCAAATAGTGGTTCATCAAATAAACTCCAAAGATGGCAAATAGAAATTATTCAGTGTGTTTTCGATCCCTAGTGGGGTTAAGCTAGAAATCAGTAACAAAAAAGACACTTGATTATCCCTGCAACTCTCCAGAACATTGTATTTTTAAGTAATCCAGGGCCACAAATGAAATACGATTGGAAATTTAAAGTAAAAAGAGCATAGTTAAGGAACCAGACATGGTACATACTGACATGTGCCTGTAATCCCAACTTTCAGTGTTTTGGAGATGGCAGCAGGGAAGTCTAGGCAACTTAGCACAACTGTTTCAATTTTAAAAAGAAAGACTAAAAGAAAAGGAATGGGTAAAGTAATTCCTAGGTGAACCTCTATAATTTAACTACAAATACCAGAAAGGAAAGTAAACTGAAAATCATTTGTCTCAAGAAATTAAGAAAAGGAAATTTAAAATTAATAAACATTGTAATGTACAGAATAATGAAATAGAATATAAACCTATAGTACAAAAACTGCAGAATGAGTGCTTTCAAAAGAGACCAGCCAAATGGCTCAGAAGGCTTCTTGTCACTTATAGAGGAGACTTGATGAGCAGCCCATCCTACTGCCATTATTAACTCCTTAGGTGTTTAATTTCACTCAGTAATGTTTTATTTTCACCTGGGCTGAGAAAATGGCTCACAGGGTAGAGCGCTCACCACACAAGCCTGATGACCTAAATTAGGATTCCTGGAACCCACATAAAAAGCCAGAGGGAGTCATATCCCAGTGCCTACAGGGAAAAGGAGGCTAAGATAGGAGAATCCCCAGAAACTGAGTGGTGGGGGCCAGGGGGATGGCTGGCCTAGCTTACAAGGTGGCAAAGAGACCCCATCTGAAATAAGGTGGAAGACGAGGACCAACACCTGAAGGTTGTCTTCTGACCTCCACAGGCGCTGCACCTGCATCCACTCACACAGGTACACACATCACAAATCACACACATACAGCACAGCTCCTCTTATACTTATTCCTAAGTATTTTTTTATTTATTATTTTTGTTTATTTTGTGTGTATGAGTTTATTGCCTGCATGTCATAAGTGCACCCATGTTGGGCAGTGCCTACGGAGGCCAGAAGTAGGTGTTGGATCCCCTGGAACTGGAGTCACAGACAGTTGTTAGCTGCCATGTGGGTGCTGGGATTCGAACCCGGGTCTTCTGCAAGAAGAACAGCCAGTGTTCTTAACCCCCGAGCCGTCTCTCCAGCCCCTATTCCTAAGTATTTTAATCAGCCACTGTTTTAAAATTTAACTTCATTTGTTGTTCATGAATAACTGGTTTCTCTTTAGTGACCTTATGTCAGGCTACCTGGCTTAAACTTGCTTATTTTGGTTTTCATTACATTTTGGGGGAATTTGGGATGTATGCAATAGTTACCTCTTTTTTTAGCTGTATTTATTGTGATTCTAGAACTATTTGGAAATTTTTTGTTTCTGTTGTCCACTTTGGAATAGTGAGGAACATTGAAATGCAATAAAATTTTTGTAAAATCAGTGCACAGACAGTAAAAAGGTAGACTTGGAGTCAGTGAGATGGATTGGTGGGTGAAGGCGCTTGCTGCCAAGTCTGCTGACCTGAGTTCAATCTCTGGTACCCACATGGTGGAAAAAGAGAACCAACTCCCACAGGTTGTTCTCTTACCTCTACATGCATGTTGTGGTGTGTATGCATCTGCGTGCATGTGCACATACACACACACACTTATCCTGAAAATTAATAAAAAATATATATAAACATTTTTAAAAATTAAGAGAGTAGACTGTTTGGTTTAAGAATATTTAATGAGTTTGCCTAAAATGCCTAATATTCACAGCAGAAGTGAACAAATAAAATTATATTTATCTTAATTCTGGGTAAATTTGTATTTTTTGTTTGGTTTTTGGTTGGTTTTTTTGTTTTTTGGGGGTTTTTTTGGTTTTTTTTTTTTGAGACAGGGTCTCCCTGTAGCCCCAGGTGTCCTGGAATTCGCTATGTAAACCAGTCTGGCCTCAAACTCACAGAGATCTGCCTGCCTCTGTCTCCCGAGTGCTGGGATTAAACGGGTGCTCCACCATGCCCGGCTTGTATTTTCTTTACATACTTAGTCTTGTCTTCATTGTGAGTATGAATTAATAAAAATATTTTATGTATTCATAATTCTACATTTTGACAAGGAGTCAGATTTCATTTTGTGTCTTCCCTTATTTATGGGCACTATAACACTGTTAATAATTCACTTAAACATTTTGTCACCTTTAATTCTGAGCAAGTATCATTTCTAAGTATTCCTTTTTTTGTCTCAAATATGTATTTGGATGGTGGTGCTAGGGGATGTAGCTTTGCTCATGTTTGTGCGCTGTTTCTCCCTGCTCTAGAGTCTTCAGCTTTCATTTTCACTGCAGAAATTTTTAGTAAAGGAAGGAGACTGAAAATAGCCCACATGTCCATAGTAACAGTAATTGATAAGTGTGCCAGATATTTTTCTTCACTGGGATGCTGTAGTTTTCAATCTTTCATAATGCATATAGAATGAATCTTTTAAGTAAAAGTAATTGGGGAAAAGCTCATCTTTAGAAAAATTAACAGTTTTAATACACTTAAGGAAGCAGTGAGCTCCGGTTCAGTGGAGCAGCAGAGAGAAGCAACCAAGAAAGATCCTGACTCTTAAGAGTGTGGATCTTAAAGAACCTTCATGTTTGGTTATCAAAGATCATACAATTACTTTATTTTACAGATTTTATCAGATTCTGTTATCATCTAAGAAAACAGGCATTCTGAGAATATATTCTCATTAAACTGTTTACTTTAAATTATAATGAAATATTTTTATTTTATCCTGTTTATCCCTTTCCTACTATTGTGGGTGATTCTGTTTACCTTTTTCCCTTCAGCTCACTCTAGTTTTAGCATTCTATTAACTGTAAGCTACCTTTGTGTAATATTTTAGGATATTACTCACATACTGACTCCCAAGCCAAAATTTCTGTGGGTAACAACATTTGATTCCTAGGGTTTTTATTATTAAATATAGCTACAAGAATAAAATTAAATATGTTGTTACATTCTTAAATTCAGCATAAATCTGTATAAGAGGTTTACAACAAATCTTAATTAAGGGTCATAATTTATTAGCTTTATAGTGGGTATTCAGTTTATTGAAGAAACTATTTTAGAAATTTGTAACAAAACACAATTATGAGGACATATCAGACAAACATAAAAAATCATGCTAGATTATACAGTAAATAGTAAATGCTAGGTAGACTCAGGTAATACTGAGTTGAAACAGTTTTCCCTGAAAGTGAAACACGAGTTTGTAATCCTGTGTTGAATTTGCTAGAAGCCTGTCAGTACATCTAAGTCACTTGGAGCCTCCCTTTTGCCATATTTGTCCAATGTATCACATATCAGGGCAATTACTATTTTCAGAAACAGTGTTCATGACTGAAACGCTACAGTTAACCTTTAGAAGATCAAAAGGAAATATACTTATTTAAAAGGTGAACCTAATATATTAATATTTTCTCATTTTATACTTCATTGCTTGCATGCTTAACTGCTTTTTTTTTGGTTATGTGTTAACATAGACTTACTAAGCACACATTTAAAGGTCAGACAATGTCATTTTAGAATAAACCAGTATACCAATTATGGGACTATAGCTGAATATTTTGGCAGCAATAATTTGGAGTTTTCATTTAAAACTCTTATTTTAACATATAGAATGATAACAGGCATTGGTAGATACAGTTGTATAAACTTTTGTAAAGGTGATCTGTTTCACAACATTCTTAAAAGATAGAAACACCTATATCTTTACTCAGAGCTGTGCATGTAAATCATGGAGAAATTATATATATAATTATTTTGAATAAACTTCAGTGAATATTTATTGTTTATAGCATATCAAAGTATTGTTAACATATTGGTAGATGCCTTTCTAAACTGTTAATGTTTTAAATTATGATTATTCATACTCTTAAGTTTCTCATTTTAAAATTTTTGGTTTTATATGTATATATACATTTTGCTTTATATTGCAGGGTTTTAATAGCTAATTGTGTTTCATTGGAGATCCTCAATTTTTTCTAAAGTTCATTCGAAATGTGTATTACTGTGAGGATTACAGTTCATATGATTTGTTTCATTTTTTAGGTGGTGGAACAGGGTATGTTTGTAAAGCACTGCAAAGTAGAAGTATATCTCACAGAATTGAAGCTCTGTGAGAATGGAAACATGAACAGTGTGGTAACTCGGAGATTTAGCAAAGCTGACACAATAGGTAATGTAGGCTTTCGTCTTCTCCCTGTTGTTTACGTGTAAGTCTGGTTCTTGACTATGATGAGAACTTTTTATGGGTATATTCATAAGCATCACAGAAGCTCAGCTTCAATGCAGCATGTCTTACCTTAGCATTGAATTGCTTGTTCATTGCTATGTTTTGTGTTAGTATTAAATGAGTTTGATATTTGACATTTTTCTTTTAAGTAAATCAAATAGTTTTTGTTTAATTATCATAAGAAAAAAATCTGTCATGTTTGTAAGAAAAAGTTATATTTAACAATTTTGATTAGTATATATTAATTATATATAGTAGACTTGATTATGACATTTTCATATATGTATATAATATAGTTTGGTCATACCTCCCAGAACCCTCACCCCTGCTGATACCTTTATAAAACAATTGAATAAAAACAGAAAGCATTTACCTTTAAATAAAGTGTTTATAAAAATGATAGTGACAACACTGATCTTGTTGGAAAATCCAAATGAGTGTTGGAGAAGCATGGAAGGGAGGTTAACAAATTTGTGAAGTACTGCACTGTATAAGGTTTTCTTATCTAAGCTAGTAATTAAGAACATTGATTAAAAATATAGGAGTAATCTATAAGTATGCGTATTTGGTAGATCATTGGATACTGTATCAGTTTAGGAAAGGAATAGTAGTAAGTTCTGACCTAGGGATTATGACCCCTCCAGCCACAGATTCTTGGCCAGGTTTACAATATCAGGCGTGAGTTAACTGTAAGTATACAAGCTTAATCTCCCCTGTACTTAAATATGTAGATCTTGTGTCTTATTTTGTACATGTGAAGCTATTAGAGTTTAAAAACAAAAAAAAATTTCCATTAGCTAATTATCCATAAGATAATTGATTTAGGAAGAAGGACTATAAACGCTTCTACTTGAAATATAAGAAAATTTGACATATCTCCTATCAGAAAATGCACTTTTCTTTTTATTGTGTCCATTTAATCTGAATAGCTAGCTCTTCAAACTGTGAAATAAATTCTTTAGTATAAATTATTCTTAAAATAGTTATATTATAAATAAGAATATTTTACATGTATGAATGTATTGCCTGAATGTACGTAAGTGTACCTGTATCATACAGGGTCCACGGAGGTCAGAGGAGGGCGTCAGATTCCCTGTAAGTGGAGTTACAGTCAGTTTTTGGCCTCTGTGTGGGTGCTGGGAATCAAACCCAAGTCCTCTGCAAGAGTACCCAGTGCTCTAAAACTGCTGAACAACCTCTCCAGCTCCTCTTTATCAATTCTCTATCATATTTAATATATATCCTAGGAAAACACATTGATTATATAACATATCCAGCTTAAAGTTAGTGTTAGATGGTTGAATTATTATATTACTTTTGAGTTCTTAAATTCTTTAATCATCTATTAATATTAAAATTATCATTTTTCCTTTCAAAAAATATAGGTGGTCTTCAGACAAAACTTCTTTGTTTTTGTATATTTCTTGCATATTTATCTGTTCTTGCTGTCTCCTTATTTTAATAGATTTACAATATTTATTCTTTGGGGCATTTAGGTCTTTGTGGTATATTTTAGAAAATTATTGTAATTGCATGGTTTTCCTTCTTAAATCTTAGATACGATTGAAAAGGAAATAAGAAAAATCTTCAATATTCCAGATGAAAAGGAGACCAGGTTGTGGAACAAATATATGAGTAATACATTTGAACCACTGAATAAACCGGACAGCACCATTCAGGATGCTGGCTTATACCAAGGACAGGTAGGATTTAGTACTGATGGTTTTTTGAAAAAGATTTATTTTCTGTGCATGTGTGAATGCCTGCCTATATGTAAGTGTACCACGTGTATGTGTGGTGACTGTGGAAGCCAGGAGGGGGCATCAGATTCTTTGGACCTGAGTTATAGGTAGTTGCTAGCTGCCAGACGTGGATACTGGGAACTGAACCCAAGTCTTCTGCAAGAGCAGCAAGTGCTCTTAACCATTGAGCCTTCTTGCCAGCCCCAGCAATAATTTTATTTTAAGCATATTTTACACTAGTTTTCTCAATTTATGAACTTTCTGAATATTGTGTACTATATAATCGGTTCTGCAGTCTCTAGATTCATCTTTGTAACTCTTCTCTATCCCTGCTGGTCAATAACTTCTAGTTTCCCTATTGAGCTTAGTAGTCTGCTTGGTAAGAATTACTTTAAATTTAAAATTAAATAAATAAAATAGCTGATGTTGTAAGATAGGTCATTAAACTTCCTATAAAGGAGCAAATAGTATTTTTGTCTCTATGGCCATACATAAAGTCTCTGTTGCAACTGTGACTCTGCCATTATAGTATTATAAGAGCAGCCATGGGCAATGCATAACTAGTGGATATGATTGCATTACTTAGACTGGTTTTAGCAGGGTTCTAGGCTGTGTGGACCATATTTTGCCAATCACTGTTAGGAGCTATCAGCTCTCAGTTTGATCTTCATTATATAGTCATAAAAAGTCAGAATGTTGAGAAATGAAGATATTTAATTATAATTAGCACTGATTCTACCTTGTAAGTATCTTTTGAATTAGTTTCTACTCCTATCCCAGATCTTATCTTTCACAGTCAATTAGATCTGCCACCTCCAGTTTCTTACATGCCCACATAGTCTTACTTACACCGGAATATTCATTCTAAAATGTAAATCTGGTTATTTTCCTCTTACAAATCTTTTCTGGCTCCTTAAGGATTATAAAGTTCAGATTCTTTAACCAGCATGGAAGTCACGGTTTTGTAGTCTTCCATCTTTAGATTACCCTTGTCTTTTAGTTTACCCTTTAGCAATACCAAACTTACTATACAGTTCTCTGAATATACTGCACTATTCCTAGTACTATGATTTTGAATGCTTTATTCATCTGTCTGATGTGCCCTTCTTTCCATTTTCCTGCATTCATCAAAATTTTTTTGAACATTCTAATGTTCTAATCAGCCATCTCATTCTTTCATGTAGCCCATCAGATCACATTATTCATCCTTCAGAACCAACAAGATGGCTCAGTGGGTAAAGTCGTTTGCCACCAAGACTGACCACCTGAGTTCTTTCATCCACATAGTGGAAGGAGAGAACTGACTCCTACAAATTATCCTCTGACATACACACATGGGTCAAGGCATGTCCACCCATATTACATGCTGGCTCACACACATTCACACCCCCACATACCAATAAATATGTAATAAAAATGATTTTAAAAGAACATTTCAGAATTCACATAGATATTGTAAATGAGCATTTAATTTCAATGCTCATTAAAATTAAATTACATATAATCTAGAATTTGGAATTATCTGTGGTACTGTTTCTCAGTAGTATTTGCATAATAATAACTAAATCATGTTTCAACATAATCACCAATAGAGCATCTATTATTTATACAATCGTATGGTACAAAATGTGAGTATAAATAAGAAGCATAGAGTTTAAACTTGGAAATTCATATTCTAGTCAGTTGACTTATCCTTTTTTAAAGTTACAGAACCAGTGATTTTTTTTTAACCTTCTTTCTTTCTCACTGACTTTTATTTTATATCATTCTGTCTGTTGTGTTGTTAAATAATCAGTTTCTTAATGTATTCAGCTTATCTCCTTGAACTATTTTGTTTTCATAGCTAAGGAAAAACCCCTTTATTGTGTCATATTTGCAGGTGTTAGTGATAGAACAAAAAAATGAAGATGGAACGTGGCCAAGGGGTCCTTCTACTCCTAAGTAAGTGCTCCTACCTATGATTCATTGCATGACTCTGAATATTTTATTTCAGATGATGAAATCCAGAGTGATAGAAAACCTAACTGTATATTACATGCTTCATCTTTGTTGAAGTTTGCACTTAAATTAATATTATAAATTTAAAATCTTTGTTTGGCGTGGTGGTACACACTTTTAATCTGAGCACTCAGTAAGCCGAGACAGACAGATGTCTGAAATCAAGGCAAGCCTGGTAAACAAAGAGAGTTTAAGGCCATTTTGGGGCTACAGGGAGACCCTCTCTCAAAAACATTTAAAATCTTCAGTGTCAAATCTCTTATAATGAGATACAATGTAAATAAGTGTTAAAAATGTTGGACTGTGTAATATACCCAAATTACTAAGCATTGTTCATTTTCTTGAACTATTTTTTTGTGATTTTATTTTTTAAATTCCTGTTAATGAAATGTTTCTTTACTGAAATTAATCTGATGTGAGAGTAATATTTTTATTAAATAAATGCTTTAAAATTTAAATGCACTGGGAGTGCTGGCACACGCCTTTAATCCCAGCACTGGGGAGGCAGAGGCAGGCAGATCTCTGTGAGTTCAAGGCCAGCCTGGTCTACATAGTTCCAGGACAGCTGGGCCTACAGGGAGACCCTGTCTCAAAAAGACCAAAAAAAAATTTTTTTTTAATGCACAGAGATGGTATCTCAAATATTAAGAGTTATTTTGATGTTGAATAATGGAGGAATTGAGACTCTTTTTAAAATTATAAGATCTATACTATATTATCAAAAACACTTAATCTAATCCCAGGACTGGAGAGGACCTGGGTTCAATTCCTAGTACCCACGTAGCAGCTAACAACTGTCTGTCTATAACTCCAGTTCCAGGGGAGTCTGACACCCTTTTCTGATCTCCGCAGGCATTGCACAACACTGGTGCTCTTGCACACATGCAGCCAATACACTCATACATAACATAAATAAAATATTTCTTAAAAAGGGCTTAACCCCATTTGTGTTTCAGTATTTAAACTTCAAATCTTTAAGAAGTGATACAGTACATAAGTCAGTAGTTAACAGTATTTCTGTAACATCTACAGGTCACTCTATATTCTAAGATATTAAAGTTTCTTTGGCCAGTATTTATGCTAAGTGAGATAAATGAGAACTTCAGATACAGTCATATGAATTCAGATTTAGTTAGTGCTGAATGTATTGGGGAAATTTTTTTTCGAAATTTCAGAATTTCAGGTTCTCTGAGAGATTATGAATCTGCATTTTTTTAAAAACCTCAAAATAATCCCAGCACTCAGGAGGCAGAGGCAGGCGGATCTCTGTGAGTTTATGGCCAGCCTGGTCTACATAGTGAGTTCCAGGACAGCTGGGGCTACAGGAAGACCCTGTCTCAAAAAGACCAAAACAAACAAACAAACAAACAAAAAAAACCTCAAAATAATAATTTATAGCATATATTAATAATTTACTAGATACCAATGTAACAAATTAAAAAACAACTCTGCTACTTAGGCACTGATTTTCTTCTGAACTAAAATGTCTCTCCAGCAAGTGGTTTTACCCTTTTTATCTTATGCAAAGATATTTTATCATTTAAATTTCTCGTAAGAAAGTGTAAATAAAGGATTCCAGCACAAGAAGTTAAGTATCTACTCAGTGTAAAACATAAGAAATACTATGAGTGGCCTTATGACACTGATGATCAGATAACATACCAAAACCAGATCAGACTACCTAGAGCTGTGAAAACTGTGCAAGTTGGCCTAATATAAACCAGTAGGCTTTTGCTATCCCCAGGAGTCAATAATCTTAATAGAACAGATAAGTGTTTTCAGTTTTGTGGATCATATGATTTCTGTCATAACTGTAGCTCTGCTGATGTTAGCAGCCTTATCCATTATTCCATTATGTTATCAGAGAGATAGGATTGTACTACAATAAAGCTTTATTTATATGCATGCAGAAAGCTTTTTTGGTCTGTGAGCCATAGGTTTTGTGTCTCATGCTATGTGCTAGTACTAAGCCGTGTAGAAAAAAATATGAGAGGAACCAAATTAAGGATGAATAAAACCTTCATTATAAATTCTAACTTTATTAGAAGATATATCATTTATGGTCTAACCTAGTGATATGTATTTTATCTATCTTTAAGCCTCTCTTGTCAATACCTCTTATTCAGTGTGGTTTTTTTGGGTGCTGTTGTTTTTGGCGGGTTTGGGCAGGCGTTTACTGTGTAGCTCAGACTGGCCTTAAGCATGTTATCCTTTTTTCCCTGCTAGGATTACAGGCATGCACCATTATGCCTGGTGACAAACATGTAGAATTTGGGCAAAGCTAAGAAAAAGACAATTTCACAATGGCAAAAAAAAAAAAAAAGCATAAAACAAAAATGACAAATATCCTAGGATACACTAATGAGCTGAGAAAGACTTAGTTGTATTTGAGAATGTAATGTATGGTAACGTGTTACTGCTAGGCAGTCAAGTTGTATAAAGCATCTGGAATCGATTTTCTTTAAAGGTGTGACTCCTTAATCACTAAGAATATTTGTAGAAAAACAAAAACATCTGAATACTGTTCTATCCAGAGAATGTCTGCAATAGCCATACTTTCAGTTTGGATGACTGAGTTGATTAAGCATGGAACAGAGAGAATTAAAAGGATAAATACCTAGTAGCAAGTCTGTAACATCACAAAATGAAGGTTTACAAATTCAGCAGAAATGACTGCAGAAACCTTACTGAAACAGTCATGCTGGAGTTCCCTATTGACAGATTTCCAGGCAGGGCACAGCAGAGCATCCTGTCTGTGGAGGAGCTTCCAGATTCCCACCACAGGCATTTTTATGCTATGGGATAAACAATAATATCCTCTGTTAGAAGTGCTTATCGTTCTCAGGGGTGCAATCTTTTTACTACCTTGAGCTAGTTGCTGTCCTACTTTCTCCCTGTTACAGAGCCAGGGGGCTAACCTAACCCACAGAAAGGAGTTTCGAAGGACACTTGAAATAAAACATGCTTGTCTGAAACCTCATCACTCCCAGAGTCTACTTTCTACAAATGCACATGAGTTTTCCAATGTAATTTATATTAAGGATAAGTAGTTTGGGGTTTTTTTTGTTGTTGTTCATTTGGTTTTGTTATACAAGACAGGATCTCGTGTAGTCTAGGCTAGCCTCAAACTTGCTTTGTAGCCAAAGGATGACTTTGAATTCTAGATACTCCTGCCTCTACCACCTGACTGCTGGGATTACAGAGGCACCACCATGACTAGTTTATGTATGTTGCTGGGGATCAGACCCAGGGCCTCATGCATGCTAGGAAAGCAAACTGAGCTACATCTCTAGCCTCATAGATTTCTTTCGGAGAACAAAATATTTGGGAAAGGCTAACTCTGTAAAGATTAAAGACCCAAATGAGATATGTAAAGCTTTAAAGCTAATAAAGCAATTTTAGAAAATGCCTGTGTCTTTTGGATCTTAGAGCATGTGAAAAATGGATTTAATTATAATGAAGTTAAGGCTTTATGTTAAAAGAACATACATAAGCCAGGCGTGGTGGTGCATGCCTTTAATCACAGCACTCGGGAGGCAGAGGCAGGCGGGTCTCTGTGAGTTCAAGGCCAGCCTGGTCTACATAGTGAGTTCCAGGACATCTGGGCCTACAGGGAGATCCTGTCTCCAAAAGACCGAAAAAAAAAAAAAGAAAGAAAAAAGAACATACATAAAGTTCAGAACTGAGCATCAACTTTTGGAACATCTAAACTTTTCAGGGGAATAAGATCCATAATATATGGAGAACTTACAAGTTAATGAAAACAAAGATAATACACTTAGAAAATAGAAAAAGGTGTGAATAATTGATAAAAATATCAAGTGCTGATAGGTAGATAAGGAGGTAGACAAACTCGCCAGTAATCAGAAAACAGAGTAGGTACAAATTGCAGCCTTCCACCCTCAGGATGGCAGTTTAAAGGTTACTGATGTAAAGTGTTGGGGAACGTAAAAGTCTTATGTCCTGATGTTGAAAATGTAAGCTAGTATTGCCAGATTCTATGAATTAGTCAATATTTAATTAAATTTGAAGTGATTAATCCTGCTGACCCAATACTCGGGATATGTTTGTAGCTGTATTATTTGTACTAGTAGAGAGTTACAGACAGCTAAATAACAGTTACTGAAAGAGTAAGAAAAATGAGGTGATAGTAACAATAGAGAGATCTTTAATACTGGATTAAACATGTAGTTGAGAAAAACAGAAGGTAATTCAGTGCCATTTTTATAAAATTAAAGCCGAACAGGTTGCATTAAAATAACACTTAGACATTTATAATAGAGGGAAATAGGAGTAGAGATTAGAGAAGAGGAAGTGTCACTCACTTTTTGTTTGTATAGTTGAAGTAAGGACCCAGATTCCTCTTGTCTCAATGTTAGAATAGCTTAACAGCAGCAACTAAAAGTGGGTAGCCGGCAAGGAAAATAGAATTGTAATTTGGTAACAGAAAGGAGGAGCTCCTTTCTGCAGAATTTTCTAAACGCTATTCAGGTCTCATCATTGAATTTCTGATTCAGAGGGATTTGGGTGTGACTCATCTAATAATGCTGATTATTGTTGATAATGGTAATGCTATTGCTCTTTGGAATACACTCAAAAACTTCTGTAGCATTTCTTGAAATGTGTGTGATTCTCACCCAGACTAGCAGATTATAAATTGTTATGGTTAACCCGTATACCCCGGACTTTTCATTCTAGATGCTTCTTATGAACGACGACCTATAAGAGGGCTATCACAGTAGGCCCATGCGAAAGTCGTGGTATATCTTACTTTCTGATATCACTGAAAATGGAAGAGCACTAGTCTTCTGGAAGTCTTTCCATTGTGCTAGGCCCATTTTGATCAGAATTGAAGACATTAGCACTTAACTATGACTTTCAGAAGAGCACTTGAAGAAAAGCTAGGTATTGCAAATATTAAGGAAAAAATATGTAATATAATT